ATCTGGAGTACTGTGTCCAGTTCTGGGCTCCCCAGTACAAAAAAGACAGGGATCTCTTGGAAAGAGTCCATAAGAGGGCCACAAAGATGGTGAAGGGCCTGGAGCATCTCCCCTATGAGGAAAGGCTGAGTGAGCTGGGCCTGTTCAGCCTTGAGAAGAGAAGACTGAGAGGAGACCTGATCCAGGTCTATCAATATCTAAGGTGTGGGGGGCAGAGTGGCGAGGCCAGACTGTTTTCAGCAGTGTGCGGAGACAGGACAAGGGGAAACGGCCAGAAGCTGCAGCATAGGAAGTTCTGCACAAATGCATGCAAGAACTTCTTTAGGTGAGGTGAGGAGCACTGGAACAGGCTGCCCAGGGAGGTGGTGGAGTCTCCTTCTCTGGAGATATTCAAGACCCACCTGGACGCCTACCTGTGTGACCTGGTGTAGGGAGCCTGCTTTGGGGGGGGGTTGGACTCGATGATCTCTGGAGGTCCCTTCCAACCCCTACGATTCTGTGATTCTGTGAAAGGGGAGAGAAGCCCCCAGCATCACCGTTTCCCCCCCCCACCCCGTGTCCCCTGGCAGGGCACTGGGAAGTGGTACGAGCTGCAGGACCTGCAGGTGACCGACATCCTGCCGCAGATGATCACCCTTTCCGAAGCCTACATCCAGGTGAGAGGGGCTGCAGGGTGGGGGGGGGGACGGGGAAAACCAAGGGACAGTTGTCCCCAAAACGTCCCCCAGACGCCTCCATCCCTCCCCCAGCACTCACACCCCCCCACCTCTGTGTTCTGCCCCAGATCTGGAAGCGCCGGGAGGAGGATGAGACGAACCAGCAAGGCGCCTGAGCTCCCCCAGCACCCATTAAACGTCTGTCTTTTTTTTTTTTTTTTCCTTCTGCCTGTTCTTTAAACCTTTTCTACTCTTTTTTTTGGGTCTCAATTTGCTCCCCTTACCCCCAAAAAGAGGCACAGGGACACCGTGCTGCTGGCATCCAAGCTTTATTTGGGGCTGCAGCCGCTCCTTCCATCCCCTACAGCCTGGCACGGTCCCGGCAGTACAGCTGAGCCTGGTGGTGAGCAGCAGGGGGTTGGTGACGTGTCACCCCCCTCCCCGTGTCCCTTGTCACCTCCCTGTGTCCCTTGTCCCCTCCCCATGCTCACCTCACAACGCCGGGCAGTCTCAGCACTGGAGCACCAGTAGGCCGGGCCCAGGGCGCAGGGTCCAGGCTTTGGGGACAGCCCTGGCTTTGGGGACAGCTTGAGGTTTGGGGACAGCTCGGCGAGCACCTGCCACAGAGCAGGGTCCTGAGGGAGGAGGGGGACACGGGTGGTGACATCTTGGGGACCTGGCAGGGCTCCTGGGAGGGATGTCCCCATGTGTGGCAACCCTGGGGGTCCCTTGGGGTGGGACACCTTGGGGACGTGGTGCTTCTGAGTGCGTCCCCTGGGGATGTCACACCCATGGGGACCGTGCTGTGTCACTCGGCGTGGGGATGTGACACCACAGAGCACGTCCCCTCCGTGCTCCCTGGGGCTGTGACACCCTGTGGGTCCCCAGCACGTCCCTTGGTGTCACCATGGAGCATGTCCCTTGGGGCTGTGACACCTTTAGGGTCCCCAATATGTTGCTTTGGGTCCCAACGTGTCCCATGGGTCCACAACACCATTAGGGTCCCCAGTGTGTCCCTTTGGGTCCCCTGTGTGTCACTCTGGGGTTGTGACACCTTTAGGGTCCCCAACATGTTTCTTTGGGTCCCCAATGTGTCCCATGGTCCACAACACCATTAGGGTCCCCAGTGTGTCCCTTCGGATCCCCTGTATGTCCCTATGGGGCTGTGACATCTTTAGGGTCCCCAACATGTCCCTTTGGGTCCCCTGTGTCCCTTCAAGTCCCCTATGTGTCCTTTTGAATCCCAAGCACATCCCTTGGGGCTGTGACACCTTTAGGGTTCCCAGTGTGTCCCCTTGGGTCCCCTGCATGTCCCTCTGGGGCTGTGACACCCTGGAGAACGTCCCTTGGGACTGTGACACCTTTAGGGTCTCCAGTGTGTCCCTTTGGGTCCCCAAGACGTGACACCTTTAGGGTTCCCAACATGTTGCTTTGGGTTCCCGTGTCCCATGGGTCCACAATACCTTTAGGGTTCGCAGTGTGTCCCTTTGGGGGGTGACACCTTGGATCATATCCCTGGGGGCTGTGACACCTTTAGGGTCCCCAACATGTCCCTTTGGGTCCCCAGTGTCCCTTCAAGTCCCCCGTGTGTCCCTTTGGATCCCCAGTGTGTCCCTCTGGGGCTGTGACACCTTTAGCATCCCCAACATGTCCCATGTGTCCCTTTGGGTCCCCAAGATGTCCCTTGGAGCTGTGACACCTCCACCTTTAGGGTCCCCTGTGTCCCTTCAAGTCCCCTGTGTGTCCCTTTGGGTCCCCAGCACATCCTTTGGGTCTGTGATACCCTTAGAATCCCCAGTGTCCCTTTGGTCCCCAACATGTCCCTTTGGGGCTGTGACACCTTTAGGGTCCCCAGTGAGTCCTTCTGGGGCTGTGACACCTTTAGGGTCCCCACTGTGTCCCTTTGGGTCCCCAATGTGTCCCACTGGGGCTGTGACACCTTTAGGGTCCCCAACATGTCCCATGTGTCCACAGCACCTTTAGGGTCCCCAAGACGTCCCTGGGGGCTGTGACACCTTTAGAGTCCCCAACGTGTCTCTTTGGGTCCCCAACATGTCCCTATGGGGCTGTGACACCATGGCTCATATCCCTGGGGGCTGTGACACCTTTAGGGTCCCCAACATGTTGCTTAGGGTCCCCAGTGTCCCTTCAAGTCCCCTGTGTGTCCCTTTGGATCCCCAATGTGTCCCTCTGGGGCTGTGACACCTTTAGCATCCCCAACATGTCCCATGTGTCCCTTTGGGTCCCCAAGATGTCCCTTGGAGCTGTGACACCTTTAGGGTCCCCCGTGTCCCTTCAAGTCTTCTGTGTGTCCCTTTGGAGTCCCCAGCACATCCTTTGGGTCTGTGACACCTTTAGGGTCCCCAACATGTCCCTTTGGGTCCCCAACATGTCCCTCTGGGGCTGTGACACCTTTAGGGTCCCCACTGTGTCCCTTTGGGTCCCCAACATGTCCCACTGGGGCTGTGACACCTTTAGGGTCCCCAACATGTTGCTTAGGGTCCCCAATGTGTCCCATGGGTCCACGACACCTTTAGGGCTCCCAGTGTGTCCCTATGGGCTGTGACACATTGGATCATATCCTTGGGGGCTGTGACACCTTTAGGGTCCCCAACATGTCCCATGTGTCCACAGCACCTTTAGGGTCCCCAAGACGTCCCTGGGGGCTGTGACACCTTTAGAGTCCCCAGCGTGTCTCTTTGGGTCCCCAACATGTCCCTCTGGGGCTGTGACACCTTGGATCATATCCCTGGGGGCTGTGACACCTTTAGGGTCCCCAACATGTCCCTTTGGGTCCCCGGTGTCCCTTCAAGTCCCCACTGTGTCCCTTTGGATCCCCAATGTGTCCCTCTGGGGCTGTGACACCTTTAGCATCCCCAACATGTCCCATGTGTCCCTTTGGGTCCCCAAGATGTCCCTTGGAGCTGTGACACCTCCACCTTTAGGGTCCCCTGTGTCCCTTCAAGTCCCCTGTGTGTCCCTTTGGAGTCCCCAGCACATCCTTTGGGTCTGTGATACCCTTAGAATCCCCAGTGTCCCTTTGGTCCCCAACATGTCCCTTTGGGGCTGTGACACCTTTAGGGTCCCCAACATGTCCCTTTGGGTCCCCAGTGTCCCTTCAAGTCCCCTGTGTGTCCCTTTGGATCCCCAACGTGTCCCTCTTGGGCTGTGACACCTTTAGGGTCCCCAACATGTCCCATATGTCCCCAACACATCCCTATGGGGCTGTGACACCTTTAGGGTCCCCAACGTGTCTCTTTGGGTCCCCAACACATCCCTATGGGGCTGTGACACCTTTAGCATCCCCAACATGTCCCTTTGTGTCCCCAGTGTCCCTTCAAGTCCCCTGTATGTCCCTTTGGATCCCCAACACGTCCCTCTGGGGCTGTGACACCTTTAGGATCCCCAACGTGTCTCTTTGGGTCCCCAACACATCCCTATGAGGCTGTGACACCTTTCGGGTCCCCAGTGTCCCTTTGTGCCCCCTCCCCCCCCCCCTTGCTCTCACCCGGTGCCCATCGGCACTCGGCGGGACGCTCGCCGGTTCCCCCATGGGTGCCAGCAGGGCGGCAGCGCCGTCGTCGGGGCCGCAGGACAGCAGCAGGCGGCACAGCAGGCGCGGTGCCAGGCGGCCCAGCAGCATCTCCAGCAGCAGCTGTGCGTATCGCTCCGCCAGGCACTGGCACGCGCCCGCGGCCACCAGCGGCAGCGCCCGGCACAGCTGGGACACCGCCTTCGCCACCGCCTCCTGTGGGCATCGCGCAGCTCAGCCGCGCCGCCGTGCCAGCGCCAGCACCGCCACAACCACCAGAATCACCACCACCACCAGCACCGCCACAACTACCATCAGAACCACCACCAGCACCGCCAGAACCACCACAACCACCACCAGCACCACCACAACCACCAGAACCATCACCACCACCAGCACCGCCACAACTACCATCAGAACCACCACCAGCACCGCCACAACCACCACAACCACCACCAGCACCACCACAACCACCAGAACCATCACCACCAGCACCGCCAGAACCACCAGAACCATCACCACCACCACCAGAACCACCAGAATCACCACAACCAGCACCAGCACCACCACAACCACCAGAACCATCACCACCACCATCAGAACCACCACCAGAACCACCAGAAGCAGCACCAGCACCGCCACAATCACCACCAGTACCACCAGAACCACCACCAGCACCAACACCTGCACCACCACAACCACCACCCGCACTGCCAGAACCACCAGAACCACCTCCAGCACCGCCAGAATCCCACAGCCACCACCACCAGAACCACCAGAAGCAGCACCAGCACCGCCAGAACCACCACCAGAACCACCACCAGCACCTTCACCAGCACCAGCACCTGCACCACCAGGACCAGAATCAGCACCAGCGCCAGCACCACCAGAACTACCAGCACCAGTGGCACCAGCACCAGGAGCACCAGCACCACCACAAGCGCACCAGCACCAGTAGCACCACCATCAGCAGCACCACCAGCACCACCACAACCGCACCAGCACCACCACCAGAACCATCACCAGGACCACCTGTACCAGCACCACCGGCACCAGCAGCACCAGCAACATCACCAGCAGCACCACCAGTACCACCACAACTGCACCACCACCAGCACCACCACCAGAACCATCACCAGGACCACCAGCCCCTGTACCAGCACCAGGACCACCTGTACCAGCACTACCAGCACCAGCACCACCGGCACCAGCAGCACCACCAATATCACCACAACTGCACCACCACCAGCACCAGCACCAGGACCACCAGCACCAGAACCACCAGCACCACCACCAGCACCCCATACCTTGGGGACGGCAGCCTCGGCACGGGCCAGGAAGGTCCGGCACAGCCAGCACAGCGGCAGCGGCACCGGCAGCGCCGCGTCCTTGGGGACAATGGGGACAGCAGGGTTGGCCCTGCGGTGCAATGGTGGCCTATATGTGGGGTTTGGGGTTCCCACTGGGACACCTATTGGGAAACTGTGGGGCTCCTATCCGCGTTCCCATTGATGGAGGTTCCTGTTGAGGTTCCCATCAGGATCCCATTGGAGCTCATTAGGATATTCATTGGGGTTCCATCAGGGATTCCATTGGAACCCCGCTCACTGGGGTTCCCACTGGAGTTCCTATGGAGTTTTCCATTGGGGTTCCCATTAGGGCACCCGTTGGGAAACTGTGGGATTCCCATCAGCGTTCCCATGGAGGTTCGATGGAGGTTCCCATCGGGGTTCCCATCGGGGTTCCCATGGGGGATCCCACTGGGACACCTATTAGGGCACCCATTAGGAGACTCACTGGGGCTCCCATTAGGGCTCCAACTGGGGCTCCCATTGGGATGGTCACTGGGATGCCCAGCAGGGTCACCACTGGGGATCCCATTAGGACACCATTGGGACACTTATTAGGGTTCCCATTGGGGTTCCCATGGAGTTTCTCGTTGAGGTTCCCATTAGGACACCATTGGAATGTTCATTGGGGTTCCCATTGGGGTTCCCATTAGGACAGCCATTGTGACACTTATTAGGGTTCCCATTGGGGTTCCCATGGAGTTTCTTGTTGAGGTTCCCGTTAGGACACCATTGGGATGCTCATTGGGGTTCCCATGGATGTTCCTATTAGGACAGCCATTGGGACACTTTTTAGGGTTCCCATTGGGGTTCCCATGGAGTTTCTCGTTGAGGTTCCCATTAGGACACCATTGGGATGCTCCCTGAGATTCCTATTGGGGTTCCCATTGGGGTTCCCATGGAGGTTCCCATTAGGACACCCATTGGGGTTCCCATTGGGGTTCCCATGGAGTTTCTCATGGAGGTTCCCATTAGGACACCATTGGGATGTTCATTGGGGTTCCCATGGAGGTTCCCATGGAGGTTCCTATTAGGACACCCATTGGGACACTTATTAGGGTTCCCATTGGGGTTCCCATGGAGTTTCTCGTTGAGGTTCCCATTAGGACACCATTGGGATGCTCATTGGGGTTCCCATGGATGTTCCTATTAGGACACCATTGGGATGCTCCCTGAGGTTCCTATTGGGATTCCCATTGGGGTTCCCAGTGGGACAGCCATGGAGAGGCTGCCATATTTGGCCATTGGGGTTCCCATTTTGACACCCATTCGGATACCCATCGGGGTCCCCATTGGGGAGCCCCACATCGATGCCTCCATACACCCATATAGAAAACCCTACATACCCACAGGCACCCGTATGGAAACCCATGGATGTGCCCCCGCAGAATCCCATACACACCTTCAGGAGGGCACCGATGTGGGGGGACGCAGCCGGGACCCCCCTGGGCTGCCGTGGGCACAGCTCCAGGTGGGCACAGATGGCAGAGGGCTTCTGGGGGGGACACCAAGAAAGGGGGGGGGGACACACAGTGCCTGCAGCCCAGCGTGGGGCACCCAGGTGTCCCCATATGGCACCGTGTCCCCATCTACCCCAGGTGTCCCCATACAGCTCCATGTCCCTATATGGCACCACGTCCCCATTTCCCCCAGCACCCCAAGGTGTCCCCAAGTGGCACCATGTCCCCATATGGCACCACGTCCCCATTTCCCCCCAGCACCCCAAAATGTCCCCAAGTGGCACCATGTCCCCATATGGCACCACGTCCCCATTTCCCCCAGCTGTCCCCACCACCCCGATGTCCACGTTCTCCAGGTGTCCCCATATGGCACCATGTCCCCATTTCCTCAGCACCCCAAAATGTTCCCATATGGCACCTTGGCCCCATACAGCTCCATGCCCCCATATGGCACCATGTCCCCATTTCCCCCAGCACCCCAAAATGTCCCCAAGTGGCACCACGTCCCCATGTGGCACCATGTCCCCATATGGCACCACGTCCCCATTTCCCCAGCACCCCAAAATGTCCCCATACAGCACCGTGTCCCCATTTCCCCCAGCTGTCCCCACCGCCCCGATGTCCCCATTCTCCAGGTGTCCCCATACAGCACCATGCCCCCATTTCCCCCAGCACCTCAAGCTGTCCCCAAGTGGCACATTGTCCCCATTTCTCCCAGCTGTCCCCAGCACCCCAATGTCCCCATGCTCCAGCTGTCCCCATATGGCACCATGCCCCCATTTCCCCCAGCACCCCAAAATGTCCCCAAGTGGCACATTGTACCCATCTCCCCCAGCTGTCCCCACCACCCCGATGTCCCCATTCTCCGGGTGTCCCCATATGGCACCACGTCCCCATTTCCCCCAGCTGTCCCCACCACCCAGATGTCCCCATTTCCAGGTGTTCCCATATGACACCACATCCCCATACAGCACCGTGTCCCCATTTCCCCAGCACCCCAAAGTATCCTCAAGTGGCACATTGTCCCCATTTCCCCCATATGTCCCCATTTCCCCCAGCTGTCCCCACCATCCCAATGTCTCCGTTCTCCAGCTGTCCCCATGTGGCACCACATCCCAATATGGCACTGTGTCCCCATTTCCCCAGCACCCCAAAATGTCCCCATATGGCACCACATCCCCATTTCCCCCAGCTGTCCCCACCACCCCGATGTCCCCGTTTTCCAGGTGTCCCCATACGGCTCCATGTCCCCATACAGCACCATGCCCCCATTTCCCCCAGCACCCCAAGATGTCCCCAGGTGGCGCATTGTCCCCATTTCCCCCACATGTACCCACCATCCCGATGTCCCCATTCTCCACGTGTCCCCATGTGGCACC